CTGCCTGTGAATTGACGCTAAACTGCGCGCAATCACGTAGAGCTAACAAACCATGCCAATGCCCGATGCTTGAAAATCAAAGTGCAACTCTACCGCTCTCCTCCAGCCCCTCCTTCCTCACGTTTTTAACAGACACAACGGTAATAGCATGAGATGTACCAACAGAGAAACGAGTGATGCTAATGCACAAATAGCATATTATGTGCCGAGACGACTGCCGAAACTGACCAACGTGAAGCCCGCGATGGTAATCCACTGATAACACATACCTATGCCGATGTAAATGACTGCCAAAATTGAATCTCAAGTAAAATAAATAGCGGCATGTACCATGGCAGCCGGTGCGTTCACGCGTTTTGTGCAATTCCACGTAAGTCTTAATGAGCCCAAATCCAGACTCCGGGTATGCGTATCACCCTTGTATGGGACCGCCAAATTTTTTTCGGGTAAGTCGCTAACTCGGGAATTTGAAAAGCTAGAAGACTGTAATTTTAAGAGGTTATTCCACCGAACGATTGCCTGCTAATGAATTGCACTGCTTTGCACTTTAGTCTGTGCAAAAACAGTTAAAACATTGCCTGGTCCTTAAGTTGCGGAATTTTCCACTAAAATATCATGCACATGAGATAACAATTTCTCTTACAAAACTTTCAGGGGGCCGTAAGTGGTACCCAAGAATACGTGAAGGCTGAGTTCAAATATGCGAGGTCGTACGTTTGTAGGGGAGATCACACCAGAATTTCAGATTCTCAACTTCCGCGGTTCCCGAGACAATGATTTTCCCCGCCGAAACTTCCATGGTGTGGTAAGTGGTACTCGGACGCGCGGAAAGCTGAATTTAAAATTGCAGGACTGTATGTGGACAGAAGACATCACCGTTAGATTTCAAGCTTTCTGGCTTTCATGCTTCCCGAAATAATAATTTCCCCACCAAAATTTCCACGGGGCCGTAAGTGTTATCCGAAAGCGTAGAAACAGTGAATTTGAATTTGCGAGGTCGTACGTAGGCAGGGGTCATTACTACAAAACTTTATCTTCCTGGATCCCGTGGTTCCCGAGATAATTTACCCGCCAAAACTTTCGCGGGGTCATTGGTAATACCCGAGAGTGCGGGAAGGCTGAATTTGAATAGGTAAAGTCGAGTGTGGACATGGGTTCATTACCCTAAAATTTCAGCTTCCTAGACTAGGTGGTTCCCGAGATAACAATTTACCCGTCAAAAATTTTCGCGGGGCCGTACATGTTACCTGCGGGCAGGAGAAAGCTCAATTTCAATTTTCTGGGTCGCGTGTGGGCAGGGGACATGCACACAAAATATCAGCCTCCAGCTTCCGTGGTTCCCATGATAATAATTTTACCCGTCCAAACTTATGCGGGACCCTACGTATTACCCGCGGGTATGGGGGGGGAGGCTGAATTTA